AAGAAAGCGGGAGAAAGTTTTTAAACAAAGATGCTTATCTCCGTAAAGAGGATGACGTTTATTTTTAGGGTTGAGAACTTTTAATCTGAAACTATGGCCTTAAATCTTCCATTTGTACCTGGCCTATTTTTGTAGTGTTACCTTATTTAATGTAACTACCAGTCTATTTTTCATACATTATCCTTCACGAAAATGCATTCTTAAGTGATCCCTCACTTACTATGAATAGCTAAATAGTCAGCCAATCAACCTAGTAACAAAATAACGTTTTAAAATTCCATTAGTTTAAATAATATAAAAATTATACATAAATGTTGTAAACAGTACCTCTATATAATTTGCTAGAAACAATATATGTTGATGATACATAGATAAAAAGGCTTTTAAATTACAAATGAATTTTTACTACGACTACAGCAGTATTAGCATAATTGTTTATTTTTTTAAATATATTTTCCACTTTTTGCAGCATATTGTTGCTTTATTCTTTTAACAATCCGAGTTTTCTTAAATTTTTGTGTGTTCCTGAATTCCTAAAACAAGAATAAAGTCCGGGAAATAATGCAATTTTGTTCCTTGCCCCTTTCTGGATTTGCAGAAAGCTACAGTATTTTCTTCAATACAAATTGATAATAACATTACGAATTTTGCACGTATGTAAATTATTTTTGCGAAATTATACGTGAAATTTTAGTAATTTTTGTACAGCGTAACATGAAATGCTCGAAAGAAAATAAGCTCTGCCGGAAAAATAAGATTATAGGTGCAAGCTTATTTAACATTGAGGTAAATGGCTATCTCGCTAAGCTGCTGAGATATCGCCGAGCTGGTGATAGTTTTGGCGATTAATTTTATGTAATTGTAACCGTATTCGGCCCTCATATGCCTTCCAGTAATATCGAGAAGTGGAGGGAATCGGAAATTTTTATCTGGCCGGGGAAAAAATATATAAGACAGGAGAGAACATCAGTTTCTCAGTTGTTTAGCTCAACGTGAATTCGGAATATTGAGAGATTCTTTGTATTAGCTTCGCCCTTTTTAGAAGCGCTTTGCATTCCGCTGTGTTAACGTTCTTAGTAATTTGAAATGTAACTACTGATTGTGCTCTGTGATTTTGTGCTTACGAACCCGTACGTACGCAACAATATTAATAGATATAAAAAAGAATTGAATGAATTATGAATAATTTCCTTTTCTGTTTCTCTTATTTAAAAATGACGCAGAATGTAATATAAATAACTGCCCATCGAATCATAACTTTCACTATGCTTTTGGCAATCTTAGTTCAGGATGATCATAAAGTCACCTATTTTACAGCATTCTGTAAGCGCTACGTTATCAGTTCTGATGAAAAACTGCATGACTGGGCTGGACCCGAAGGACGGAAAGCATGCGGAAGAAAAGGGAGGTAGCCATTTGTTACCAGGAAAATGGACTTCGTGCAGTGGAGCAGCGATGCTGCGGCGACAGTCAATCTTGTACCAAGATGTACTTGAGAGTTAGCCCGAAGCTTGAGGAGTAGCAGGTCACGTGGTTCGGCGCATCATTGAGGAAAGCGCATGAAGAAAGCTTAGGGCCTTGGAGTTCGCGGCATAACGATTCGGGCAGTTTCATGTGACTTTGCGAGCCCGTAAATACACTTCGCTGAAGAAGCTTCATTGAATGGTCATGTGAACCTGATAACTGGAGTTTCTTCGAGGTTTCTTTGGCATGCGATATCACAGATACAGATACAGACACAATACAGTTATCTTACTGAAAGATCATTCTAAGTAAAAATCCGCAATGATCTTTCACTGTCACTGAAAAGCAGATTTTTCTCGCAGGATAGTATTCTTGCTCCTCTGTTATTTCATCTATTCATCAATGACATACCTAAAATAATACGATTGCTTTAGCATGTTATGCCGATAACACGGCTATACTAAGTCTGTAAGCCCTAGTCATACTAGAAACAAACTACAAGAATTTGTAAGATACATATCTTTATGGTATAAAGCCTGCAAAATTAAAATTAATGAACAAAAATGTCAAGTTATTAACTATCCTAAATACCCTCTCAGGCACAACATTGGAGAAATTGTTACAAAACGGAATACTGCCAAATATCTAGGTGTTTGTATGGACGAAGGCTTATAAAGTATTTTCTTCATCCTTCCAGCATGTATTCGTGGTGTAACGGTTCGGCGCGTATTCGGAGAGGTTCAGGTTTCGGGTTCCGGGGAGGGCATTACACATTTTTTTATGGTTCTAGGGATGGCAAAAAGCTTTATGGGACTAAAGGTCACCAGTTGACTGTAGACTCTTCTACAGAATGACGGTTTACGATCTACAGCTTGAAATGGATTTTTCAAGTCTTTGTAGAACAAATGCAAATAAATCATCAAATGCATTTAAGATAGATAAAGAGCAGTAACAGTATTTGCATGTTTGCTTTTGAGTTTTTAGAGGTCCATTATCAGTTCAAAAGCGTGAATAGTCTAGTAAAATTTAGGTGATAAAATTGTCGTCTCGCAGTAGATGAGCTGCAAAGGGTCTTAATGGCTTGCCGTTTTCTAAAACTTCGTACTGAAAGATTTCGAAGTATTTAGCTGTGAGACAGTTCACAGCTTTCTGGAAGAAATTATTATTGAGATGGCTGAGGGTGTCTAGCATTCTGGGGATTTTCAGGTTCAGTAATATATCCGTGCTGACGATGTAATGGAAGTTTGTAATGAATCTTAACACTCTGTTCCGAAGTATTTGTAAAGTTTTTACATTACCAGGGGTAGTTGCTGCCCATGCTGGCGAGGCGTAAGTGCTAACCGAGACCCAGATGTACCTCTTACATTTCAGAGTGAGGTTAGAGTAACGATCAAGCAGCGAACACAGGCTGTGAATTTTTGAATTCACCTTACTGATGATATAAAAAGTATGATCAGGTGAGTCTTTGATTGAGTACTATACCAAAGTAAGTAACTGCGCGCACTTTCGAGACGTTTTCGTTGAAACAACTGTAAGTCACAGTTCAGCTGCCTCTTGGTTTTATGCCTTTTTAGAAGGAGCAGTTGGGACTTGAAGGCGGTGCTACAAATTTTTCACTGCGTGCATCAGTTTTAATGGCTGTAATCTTGCTTTGTAGGTTTCGAAATGCGTGTTTTGGGCTCTTAGATTTAACCGCAATAGCGCTGTCGTCTGCGTAACATGCAAGGAAAGAAATAATGATGTCCAAGTATCTTTAACGGATTAATGATGCATACCGAGGTAAGACTACACTATATCACAATTCCAAGGATCTGGAACGAATTAATGGGGTATACCGAGGTACCACTGCATAATAAGACAATGGTAATTTGCAAATATTATTGTCCTGAAGTCATTTGGTAGTCTAAAAGAGTGTAAGTGAACATAAATTTAAAAAAAAAAAAAAAAAAAAAAAAAAAAAAAAAAAAAAAAAACCATGAACAGTTTTGCACTGTTCATGTTTTTCCATTTGTGGCTGTGAAACGGAGTAGAATGATAATGGAAAATGTGCAATACATGTCCAAACTGATGTTGAAACGTAGACAACCATTTACGTCTTAGAATCTCTGCTTAGACTTGGACGTTGACATCCCCATGACCATTGAGTTGACTAAGTGTTGCCTACGGAAAGCATCCTCAGACCAATTGGAACACTGAATGCTTCGCAGAGGAAACAACGTAATCATGGCTATATTATTCATGGCATCTAATGGCATCTAATTCGTAAATCAACTGCTCCATAGACTCATCGAAAAGTAAAATAGCTTTTTTACCATAATTTAATAATCCACTTCTCATGCTCATGAAAACGAATTTCAGGCGCTGGGATCTCATCTTTGCAAAGCAAAGGCTTTTTTCCTCGGATGGCAGCCTATGAACTTCTTTGAAATCCAACACTTTCACTATTTTTGTCCACTCTACATTGTATGTCCTAGGCAGTTTCGAGATCCGTTGATTCTGAGTATACAAGACTATCCAACATTTTCACATAATACTATTTTTATCCACTCTACATTGTATGTCCTAGGCAGTTTCGAGATCCGTTGATTCTGAGTATACAAGACGAAAAAGGAACCCGTGCTGTCAGCAGGCCCATTTTTTTCAGCGATTGTTTACAGTCCCTGTTTGAGGGAATTTCATAAGCAAGTTGGTTACAGACATCTTTTTCACGACACAATACGGCAGAAAATAGTGGACACTCAATACTAACCTAAAGCTTCAGCAATTAACCTCACAAAAGAATCATTCCCATTATCTCCTAAGATAGTACATAAATGATGATCATTTGCGAAGCAGTCTTACCTTTGCAAGTCTAATGCAATGTTTCAGATACTTTAATTGCGGCTGATGCAACATTATTCAATTTTAACGCAAATGAATGCAGGCTTATATTAATTAAAATGTTTGGTTGGTGGTTATTTATTTCTTTTCAAAAAGCTGGATCGGCTATCATTCATGAAAATGCTTATAGTAATTCTTTTTATACCCAGCCGATAGTTTCTTTTTCATCCGCTTATGTCAATTAGATTGTATTTTATTTGCATGCGAATAAAAGACAGTCTAATTCACCAGGCCTATTTACCTAAGGGAAAGGATACCTTCGTGGAGGACTTTCTAAGGGAAACTGGCTCAGTGGTTCAGGCTATTATGCATAAGAAAAAACACAAAAACGCCCATGAAGCCAGTTCGTTCGCCTAGAATCGAACCCAGTTTAAAGCAACCGGTCTTTAATTTTACCGCTCCACCGCTAGTGGGCCTACGAATTATTGCAAGTCATTATATTACTCGTAAATATACAGTTTAAGGAAGTTTAATATTTCTAGGGTGAAGGCGTCTCAGTTTGTTTAACTCTAGGGAATAAACATGTATGAATCCTGAAGGTAAAAGGAACGTCTGCTCGATTGTAATGTGATGAACAGAAATAAGAATAATTTTAAAAGAGAAAAATCTACTGCATAAGGGTAATTTGAAATTAAATGGAAAAATATAAAACATACGATCGGACAATAGCTTTAAATCTCTCTTGTCCGGCTGTGTCCCAGATAACGAGTTTAATAGTTTCGCCATGAAATGTAATGTTCACATCACGACAGTCAGCTACTACTGTATGGTTCATATGTTCTGGAAAAGAAAAAGATAAAATAAGCTAGAATTTAGAAACTTTATAAAATATTCAAATTATTTTTTAAAAACTGAAAACAATTAAGATGAAAATTTCGAAAGGAGGGGAGGCGACCTTGAACTGTATCTGTATGCCCACGACCGTGCTCTATTGTTGCAGCTCTAATAAGAACAGCGCCCTTTCATTGCACACGGCTTTCTCAGTTTCATCGGCGGAGCATTTTTGCCCAATTTCAACAATTGTGTTTTAAATCTTTAACCAAAGTTCTAAAAGGATAAAAGCACTGAATGAAACGGGCTCAAATACTGCATCTTCACAGATCATCACATTATCAGTTTGATACCATGCGCTTATCTTTCAATTAATTAATTCTTGAATCACTATTTTTATTCACTTGCAAGCAGAACTCTGCACAGTTTGCCAGTTATCACGGTATATTTATTAACTCCTGCAGTCTTGTATTAGGAAAGAATATACTTTTTAAAAAATTTCTTTTTTATTATTATTTTATTTTCACTATAATTATTGATATTATTATTATCTGATATTTAGAATCGTATGTACATGTGTTAATGTAACTAGTGTGTCTTTTCATACTTTTTATACTCCCTTAACCTATCGCATTGTGTTTGTGTGTTTGCATAATTCTGAAAAGTTTTTACATACTGTTATATCTGTTTTCTAAGTATAATACTGATTACTTAACACTCACTTGGAGAAATACCTGTCTGAATAAGGTTTAGAATTCCTCTTAACGACTTATATAATGTACGTCTGACAACTCACAGTTATTTATTAATTAACCTTTGGTTAAGACTTGACATAATAGTATTTGTCAACAGATAATTCTTTATTTTTATTATTTTGTTTTTCTTTCTTTATATATATATTCTTTTTCCTAAGAAACTTGGAACTTCATAACACCTGGATTAGAATTATTTTGTCAGACTTTATGTGAGTAATACATTATCTAATAAGCAATTATTCACTATTATTTATTTATTTTTGTTAACTTCAATTACTAGTAATTTTCTGCTCTACTAAGAATAGTTTCTCATTTATGTCATTTTTGTTTTGTGTGCGCTATGAAATTGTAAACTCCTATGAGGCTTCTAAAGAGGTCTTCCTCACCATCCTTATTAACATCTCCCATTCTTTAACTAGCAATCCTGAAATGCTGAACTCCTCCAGATTGAATGATATTCTACGAATTACTGATAAAATTAAGATCTTCTAAACTCGGCAAAATAGAAAACTTAATACCAAGAACATGAAGATATTTCTGGCCATTTAACAGCTCTTTGTCAAATAGTGGCAGACCAAGAACTTACTCTAGCGAAGCATGAAGGCACAATTTCGGAACTGAGAGAGAAACTGTCTCTTCAGCATTCAAATACTACAGTTATTTCTGAAGTGAAGGAACATTTGTAGCAACAACAACTTGAAGTTAAAAAATTATTCGGAACAAAATTTCTAGAACAAACCCCAAATTCCTACGCCGTTGCTACCGCCAAAAACATTTCTTTGAAACAGGCTCCAAAAAGTCAAATCAGAGCTCATATTCTTCTCTTGAAACCTAAAGATTCAGAGAGAACACCTGAAGATATCAGACACCAACTAAGTTCTACACTTAATCTACAAAAACTATTCATGTCAATAATGTTCGTACTACTAAGTCTAATGTCTAATGAGTTTAATCGGTGTCGAAAAGAAAGCAGACTTAGAACACTTACACCGCTCAATCGTTGAAAATTCACAACTACAAGCCTCCGTAACTGTTCGTACTTCAAAACCCAAAATTACCAAACTCATAGTGTTAATGTACCCTCTTCAGCGGCTGCTGAAGATATCAAATCTGCTTTCTGAAATTACATCAAATATAATCTTGATATTTCGTGTTCTCCAGTTCACTGATCTGAAAATACAATAATTGGATTGTAGAAATTTCTTCAGATTCTATTGACTGTTTTACTTTGTCAAGAGTCTTCATTGGATTCAATTCGTGTTCCTTCCGTCCCTACATTTCACTTCCCCGTTGCCTTCATTGCCAGGGTCTTGGACATAATAGTCGTAACTGTCAAAATCCTCCCTGCTGTTCCATCTACGCAAACCAACATTTCAACAACATAGAGAGTGTACCTCAAACGTAAAACTCTGGGTAAATTGTGTGCGCAATAACCAAGAAACTGGTTCTTCATTGCCTACTGATCATGGTGCTCATGAAAGAATATACCAGACTTACAGGAGTCAGTTCAACAAATTATTATACACGGACAAAGCCACAACCTCACACATGTTGCCATCATCCATAACTAAAAATTCTTCAGTTGCAACTAACATGCAAGAACGCAATTTAAAGAACAACGCTTCAACTCAAGATTATAACATGGGCAATGATGTACAAAATAATATACCCCCAACCTTGCTAAAAAACTCAATACATTTTCTTCAATTCGTTTTCTCCAAATCAACTTACAAAGAGCAAAAACGGCTTCTGACCATCTAGCAGAATTCTTAACTCACAACCATAAAGACTTTGTTTTAATCCAAGAACCCTATTTTATCGAAGTTAAAGTAAGTAGCATTCCAACGGATCAAAGGATATAGTGGCCAAATTGGTAATGATCAGAAAGATAAACTAGCCAAAGAAGCAGCTATTAATCGAGATGGTACTAAAATCATCATTCCGTGGCCTCGCTCAAATTTCAAGTACCAACTAAAACACTTGCTTCAAAATCTTGCAAGATTTGTGGAACAATGCTCACAGGGAGAACCACATATAACTTGATCCCCAATGTAAGCTTCGCTCTCTGTACTCGAATCCTTCCTAAATACTTATAACAGGTCATGGACCCTTCCCCACATATTCTACGCAAGAAATTTGGCAATTCTAATATCTGTATATGTGGGAACGGGGAACTCCTGATCATTACACTTTCTCATGCCCCTTAACTGAGGATATTCACATAAAATCCCCAAGAACTGACCTCCTGGCATTCCAAAGGTTTTTAATTAAAGATCAACATCAGTATCCATAGTTTCAGAAAATTATGTAACGACTCTCTTCCTACGGCCTAGATCTCTGTCAAGTGCAAGTCCACATACTACTTAGTAAACTTTTACATGCTGTGATTAGGGACAAAATGGTTCCCCTCGTGAACTTTATAAACTGCAATAAACCATATATCTGAAATAACCCATGGCACCCCCTCTTAGCATATTATTACAATTCATTTTAACATTGTGTTGCCAGTACTAATTATAATTATCTCATTATGATTATCTGTTTATTAATTATGTTTATCTCCTATTTTTGTTGCACCAAATCAGATGTTCAATTTATCTTATGAATCTCAAAGTGTATTCCGACTACTTTGTAATCTACTTAAGTCCTACATCATTATTTTAATTAAATACTGGATGCAGGGCGTACTGTGGGATTGCACGATGTACCATAACAGGCAAACTCTAGACCTTTTGGAAAGCTTCAGTCTATGTAAATTCTTATAAAACTTGCGATTCCCCTTCTTTTTTTAAGAGTTAGTATGGGAAGGCATTACCAGTTGACCTATGATACAGTCGGTCACAAAAGTATTCGAACACCGGTACCCTATCAGAAAATGACAAGATGGCGTTTTTTTTCTCTTTCTCTCTGTGTGTCGTGTTATTCTATCCAGGTTTCTTCTCCCCCTCTTGGAAAAACTGGAAAAATTGGTCATCTCTCTTTTGAATGGGGAGATGCCATTTTGAGAAAAGCTGACGACCCTATCTTGGAGAATGAACATGACCGCTCTAACACCCTTTCACTCTCTCTCTCTTTGAATTGGGAAGCCATTTTGGGAAAAAGCAGACGACCCTATCTGGAGAATGGAAATGAACGCCTCTCCCTCTCTCTTTGAAATGGGAAGCCATTTGGGACCCTCTATTCTTGGGGAGGAGAAAACTGAAGTCTGCATTTCGCTGTCTCTGAACACGGAAGCCATTTTGGAAAAGCGGACCCTCTTTTCTGATCATGGAGAACTGGAAGAACGCTCTACACGATCTCTCTTGAATTCAGAAGGTATTTTGGGACCTTCTAATGTTGGAAACTGAAATGACGCTCTACGCTTTTTCTCTCTCTCTCTCTCTTTGGAGATGAGTAGCCATTTTGGAGGATTCTCCACCACCATCCTAACCTGGAAAACTGAATGAACGCTCTACACCTTCTCTCTCTCTCTCTTTCTGAAATGGGTAGCCATTTGAAAACTCCCTAACTTTGGAAAAAAACAGAATGAACGCTCTACACATCTCTCTTTGAAAATGGGGGTGTCATTTTGAGACCTCCCTCCCCTAAACTTGCAAAAAAAAACTGAAATGAACGCTCTACACTTTCTCTCTTGGACATGGTAGCCCTTGGGGACCCTCTCCTCTTGGTAGAAAAAAAAAATGAAGTGAAGGCTCTACACAATCTCTCTTGGAATGGGATCCATATTTCGGGAAACGTGGATCACCTCATGCTGGAAACTGAAGTGAACCCAAGATTGGACTCTATAATATTTTTTTTTAATTGACATCATGACCTCCTCCAATTTTGTATTAAAAAGTTTTTTTGTTTTGGTTTTTTATCCCATTTCCGATGTGATTTCAGAAATGCAATTCCATAACAGTTCAATTTCATTCGAGGTTAATGATTAAACGTCTTGACCCCCCATCCGTATGATTATTTTCTTCTCCTTCCTGTTGCACCAAATTTGTAAGTCCATATAATCATCCATACGGAAGGGCTGGATCCCACAAGGCTGTCTTGAACACTTGGAGTCTCTTTGGGATAGTGGAGGGATCTACGATGTCTGGACCCGGCGCGATTCTACCTCATGATTTCTGGACCCGTGGAACTTGTGACCGGCTGAAATTCTACCTCTACGATTTCTGGACCCGTTGGAACTTGTGACCCGGCTGTGATTCTGCCTCCATGATTTCTGGACCGTTGAACTTGGGACCCGGCTGACATTCTACCTCTACGATTCGGGACTTTTTGAAGCTTG